GGCAGCCCAGCGAGCATGAAATTCAATCGGCTTGTTTACTTCCTCTAGCATCGGATTGGCGCACAGCGGTAGCTCGCAGGGAAAGCGGAGGACCAGCAGAGGGGCGAAAAGCAAGTGAAGGCTTTGGAGGAGATGTGCATACATTTCCTTTTTGAAGATAGCACTGTGTCCGCGTATTAAATCAAAGCTGCTGCAGTCAAAAACTAACCATGAGGCCTTTTAATAAGTGAAAATAAGTTAATTACATTCAGTACCTGAATCTGCTATTAGTCACGCTGCATTGTGCAGCAACATCGTTTTAATTCCTTTGAAATTTGATTACACAACTAAGGTGAACAGAATGATCAAATCTGAGAACCACCATCTGTTGTACAGTATCTGACTAACTTTAGAAGCCTGACTTGGAGACTAAATCAATAGCACCTTAAATCCGATTTTTACAAAAATCGATGTTACAAATGCTCAAGTTCACAAATACAGTAATCCGATAACACTTCTTACCTGTCCAGCAATTCTGTCCAGGTCTCTGGTGCCCTGAGGGGTAAGTCTACGCCCACTGGAAAACAGCAACAATTGAGAGTCAGTTGAATTCCAAAATAACACCACCTGCAATAATACAGGTCACATATAGTCATAAGCAGCCTACAGGCAACTCACCCATTGGGGTTTTTCTCCACCATCTTGAGTCCCTCGAGGGCCTGGAGCACTTTACGGGCAACATTTTTGGAGCCCACACTGAAGTGAGAGGGGCACACGCCATTCCTCTTACGCCCGCCATAGATCTTGGTCATAGAGCCCACACCAACACCTCCACGCAGATACAGGTGACGCACTGTGGAGGCTGAGAGAGGACAGAGAGGGTCAGGAGAACAGATTTCTTCAGGGCAGTGGAGGACAACAGGATGCAACATGCCAAGAAACGCTTCAGCTTTCCTTCTAAAAGAATACAGCACACATGGCATAAAATCTGTAATATCAGTTACTAACTACACAAACTCAGCTCTTAATTTTACACAGTGCGTCAAGTGGGAACTTTGTTTCAGAGAAAAAGTTTAACCAGTTTCTCAGCACACCAGAAACTGCTGATACATTAGAGGTCTGCTACCCGACCCGAGCCCGACGGGTCCCGAAATACTTTCGGGTTAATGTTTAATGAATAGCTTCGGGTTGGGCTCGGGTTTATATATGCAGTAGGCTATGCTGCTTTCATAGACACATTAGTGCACATGACAACGACAACACAGCATGGAAACTTTATTAGTAAAATAGCTTCGACAGGCTACTGACTCGCAACTTTATATTTCTCTGCAATGAGGGGGTAAAATCGCGGTTTTTGAAATAACTAAGCTTAATTTCTTGTAGAGAGAGAGGCGCGCAGACGCAGGTTCACACACGCAACTTTCATCCCTCACTCTCTCTCTCGCTAATTCAAAAAAATTATATAATTAATTCAAATAAATGCGATCTTACCGCACTGCATCTCTGTGTCTGATTTAAAGTAGGCCGAATGCTAACGAGCCTTAACTGACGAAAATGACCATAATTTGCACGATGGAAGAATTATCGTCTTGTCGTAGCCTATACAACCATTCAAAAACTCGGCAGAATTTGTGTGACCACTGCACTTGATGTTCATAAACTTTCATAACTGGTAAGTGTTTTCTCTTTTGCCTTGTGAACTGGCCAAACCTTAATGATTCTGTTTCTTTACATGTATTTGTTTACTGACCATTGCATGCAATCGTGAAATACAGCACTTTTGTTTTTTAATTGGCTATTCGTTGTGAAAAAAAAAAAAAAAAAAAAAAAGGATTTCTGGTTCGGGCTCTAAATTTAACTGTGCCGCTCAGGTCGGGCCGAGTCATACGATCTCGGGTATAGGCTTCAGTTTAAATCCCGTGCAGACCGCTATGATATTTTAACAGGACATGGTCATCAATAATAAGAGCCCAATCCTGACACAATCACTTGCTTTAACCGTTGTTTTGCAGCAGATTCTCAGAGTAAACATGTACAGACACTAAACTGTCATAATTTTTTTAAATAATGACAGTTTAGTGTCTTTAAATGTAACATTTTTGCTTAAAGCACAAAGCATTCAAATAGATCAATCACAAAACAAAAGTTTTAACCACTCTCATGTGCATACTAGAGAGCAAGCTAAACATGTTTTTGCTCAATCTTACTGCTAAAATCTGCATACGAAAAACACTAATTTGAGTGGTTAAATGCATTTAATGGCCAAAATGCACCATAACAATATATGAATGTAAACATCCTTTGTCGACAGGAACATTTGGTGGATATTTTGAAGAATTTTGGTAACCAAAACAGTTTTGGTTCCCATTGACTTAAGGGTAGCATTCAGTTGCTGCTGTGTTCACATTGCACGATGGATCAGCGACAGGGGGTTTCACATTGCATGACTTCACAATAGGAAGAATCGCTAACAGCTCTGTCTGGTGCAGGGTTGCCAGGTTTTCGCTAGAAAACCCGCCCAATTACTACTCAAAACTAGCCTGAAAATAGCCCAATTGCTTTCGAGGGGGTCCCCCAGTAAAAATCACGTTCGGGGGTAAAATACAATTTTTTTTAGCGGGGTTCTCCTGCTACAATTCACATTTCAGGGCCTAAATATCACGTTATTGGGGTCGCTTCAACCTGCTGACATAAAAAACAACCGGCGGCAATCGCGGATTTGGCAACACTGGTCCACAAAATACGTTTTATATAACTCCTCCCCGAACTTCCCGCTGCCCTGTATCTTGGTCTCTGATTGGTTGTAGGTCATCGCCATGTGTTTTTCAGTCAGAAATAATTTCACACAGCGTGATTGTGAATCGCCGACAGCTCCAGATATTTCTGGCAATTCCCTCAGATCGCATCTTTGATAATTCACACTGTGTGATTGTCACTCGCGCAAACACATTTCATTGCACCAAATACACAAAATAACGTTCTTTTTAGCAACATCATATGACCCCTTTAATATTGAACTCTCAAAGTGCCCCAGATAGATGAATTTAACTTTAAAATAGGGGTGCTCCGATCAGGGTTTTTGATCACCGATCACAGAAAGTAGGGATGCACCGATTCGATATTCATATTGGGTATCGGCTCCGATAGTGCCATTTTTCTCGGATCGGGTATCGGTCAGAGAGAGCCGATCCAAATCAGAGATTTTTTTTTTATTGATTTTTTTTCCGATTGTGCGAATAATTCTGTTACTTTTGAAGACATACGATAGCTTAATGTGAGCTACATATGAATATTTAAGTCCTTACATTAAAGTTCACACAAACTCTTTTCTCCGCTGTGGCTGTCAGTGATTCGTTCAGCCTTTAAAGTTTAAACCCTGCTCGCGTTCGGTTACAGCAGTCAGCTCAGTAAAGCTCTCTCCAAGATCATTCTGTGTTCCCATTATACTTGATTTGTAAATACATGTCTATGATTTTGCAAAAAGGACTTTATCTTCTTGCTGGAGTTTAATGTTTTGTTACTTGCTACCGGATGTCTGTGAGAACAAAACACAGGCGTAGAAAAGACTATAAATTGTTTTTTACGTGCACAGTAACTGAAATTTAAAACTGTTAAAAGAAAGGCTCAATAACTGTTGCACAGATATAATACACTACGCATCAATTTCTCTTCCCTTTATGCTTTGCACTTTTTAACACGAAGCGCTTACAATGTGCGTACATTGTAAGCACTTCGTGCTCATAGACTGTCAACCCTCTATATTGCGAGTAAATCACTCGCATATGCGACTAAATCTTCACTCTGGGCGACTAAATGATGTCTAATATTAGCCAATGGCTAATCAATTCTCAGATTTTACTCGTCAGTGTGCGAGTTAGATGCTGAGTATATGATTAGCACAGCTATATTTTCACTCACAGAACACTCTGACTGAGCACTTCAGAGTTT